TAGCCAAATAGCATCGTCACGTCAGTGAGAATCACGCTCACACTATATGTCACGTCGCCTATGATGGTGACAAGCGGGATCTCGTTTGGGGAACCGCGCGTTTATCATTATAAAGTCAGGTTGAGCAACAGTGAGTTCAAGAGGCATAAAACCGTTGATGCGATTGAAGGATGAGCAGGGATTGGTCAACCATTGTTTGGTAGAATCTCGAGTTTGACATAAATTGCATAGTTGTGATCTAATCATGTGTAACAAGGCGCGTAAGAGATCTATGCCTTCTTCTTGGACTTCTCTTTGTCTACATCTTCGACCTTGAGAGCTGTGATGGGTGCAAGAAAAAACGAGTGGAGTCAGATGAGCCGGGTGATGATGGACGAGTGCTGAGAGGGGAAGGAGGAGGAGGATGGGATGGACTCACTTGGAGGGAGGGATGCTCGTAGCTTCTCGGCTTTCTCGGGGTCAGTCAGAACGAGTGTGTACAGATATTTGGAGCATCGGACTTTGAACTTGGTGACCTTGGTGGATACGCCTTTGGCAGTTGTCCGGGTCGACTTTTTGATCCGGCAAGCTAAGATGGTCACAAAAACAAAAAATAGAGCATGTCGTCAGTACGAGGATAATAATAATAAGGTGAGGGATGGATAGAAGAGCAGGGATGAAAGAAATACCTTTGGCATCTTTTCGGTGAGCGATCAAGAGAAAGCTTTTGATGTCTTTGACTTCACAAGGCTATGTATTCATATCATTTGAGGGTCGAAGCGGGGCAAGTTGGGGAGACAAAAGCAGAGCACGAAATCAGCAATTGGACAGCTATTGAGATTTCGTTCCTCCCAGTATATGAACTGGTGAGTAAAGGCTCTGGAGGTGTCGGATGGTAGGCCTCACCATGGCGTATCGGCTTCGTTGATCGGTGAGTTGATCGGGATGATGAGGTTCCGGGCGGGTGGGCGTGAGTCCTGAAGGCCTGCGATTTGGGTGGTTGACCTTGTGTGCCGGTACAGGCCAGCTTAGGTTAACCGACCATCGTGATTTATCACCATTCTGACTGCGGGGGCCTGCTGCGTGCGCGGGCCATCCGCCGACTGATGACCGAGGTGCACGGGAAGTCGACGGGGCACACCCCCGGCTTCAATCGGGTACACTTTTGGAATTTATTAAGTGGGCCTCCGAACGTCACCTCCGGCTACACAGAAGCTCCGGATTGGAAAGTGTGCTTTTGGGCTTAATCAGATGTGTTGATGCAGGTCGATTGCAATTTGAGAAGGAGCACGCCACAAGCGTTGGCGCAAGACCTTCCAATGTCTGCCGGCTCGACGAAGAACCAGGACAGCTTGGAAGCGAGCCCCCACTGGATTCCAAAAAAAACTCTCAGTTGAGTTTTCTCTCAGGGATTTAAGTCTATGTTTCAACTGTTCCATCTTGGAGCCAGGAGATACATCATTCATCAGTTTGGCGGGGCTTTGCAAAAGGTTAATAGAATGGGAATACATCAAAATGTCTTGGAAGATTTCATCAAGATAGTCTGAGCTTTATTTGTGGTAAAACTGGGTCAATACTCGCTGTGCTATCTGCATTATCCCAGTAATGGGGAGTTTGGGATATTCAGAAACTGGTATTGTCCTACCCTCAGAATTAAGACTTACACAAGCCCCCAACCCCAGGTGTCAAAGCATGTGATACTTATTTGTATTATAATTTTGAACTTGAGATTGTAGAGTGAAAAATTAAAGCAAATAAAAATTTGGCCCGGTGGCTCAATCATATATCACATGAATATATTAGCAGGGTTCATGATTGAGATTTTGGATGCTTGTTTCACTGAGAATATTTTCTTGTTTGTTTACAGCTCTGATGGTGGATTGCACTTGTAGCAACATTATGATTTTGGGCAGATACTATATTACACCATTCATTGCCAATACTGTTGAGCTATTCATGTTGTGTAGTTGTCATAGCTGCTATTGAGTTGTGCTTCTTTCTCTTTTCATCTCTCACATGTCACACCTTGTGACATCCATCCTGTTTTCATTTCTCTTTTATACTGGAGTCAACTGAGTTGGAAAGGATTCCTTTTTCCTGATCCTTTCCAATCTCATTGCTCCAGGTCAGTTTCTCATTTTCTCTCTCTTCTCTTTTTCTTAGTGAAATGAACACTTATCCTTTCCAATCTCATTGCTCCAGGGTGTTCATCTCAACAAATACTGCCCAAAGTGTTGAGTTTTCTTTTTCTACACCAAAACACATTGCTGTTTACTACATGCTGAAATTAGGTGTCAAAAGGGGAAAGATTGACAAAGCCAACAGAAGACTAAGTCTGAAGAGGTGTTTGATAACCTATGCAAGAGGGATAAAGTTCCCTTGAGGCAAGTTTGAGTCAATCATATAGTGTCTTCTGAGGAACAGTTATAAGAATAACTTGTGTTTTTTTATTCACTTGTATCTAGCTTATTCAAATAGAATAGATTCCATCATGTTCAAGTTGTGGAAAAAGATTTTGAGCATAATCAATAAAAGGATAACCAGCAATTTTGGTTAAAAAAAAGACATGTGACATGTTAGTGAAACAAAAATGAAAGAGAGAGAGAGATTGACAAGTGGTATTCCAAAAATACATTAAAAATGAACATTTATCTTTATAACTTACTCTCAATAAGAAGTTTGAGTTTACTTTTAGCTGATGCACAGGCCAATACATTACCAGTCAACCATAATTTTTGTTCCAATAACACAATCTTGCCCAAGCTATTACTGTCACAAAACAAGATTTGCAATACTATACTTTACTATACTTCAAAAATAACAAACCTTTTCTTGAATTCAATTCACTTCACTACTTGTCCTGCTGGGTAGTATGAGCCCCACTCTCAAAGTTACACAAAAATGAACTTTTTTTGTGGTTCATTTTTCATAAAAACTCAAAATGAGGGAAAATGGCTGCTGAGTGTGTACAAATCTTGACAGCCAGGAGGTGCATTGAGATTTCTAAAAAGGCCATAACCCCCATTCCCTGGAGTTTTTTTATGATTAAAATATTTGGGGAGCTGAGTCCCATCACCACTGCAGGAATCAGAAGAAAAAATGCCAGGCTTGAGGGGGGACCACATAATTGAGGCTGGGGACTTCCTGAGACATTCCACACACGGTCCTCCCAACAACTCCCAAATTTAGGATTTGATTAACCAAGGCCCTAAATATAAACCTGACATACAGTGTATTGACCGTTATTTTTGGCTGCACATTTTGGATCCCAGACCTTCAAAGCACAAATTTGGGTGAATGAGCCAACTGAAGGCTGTATTTCTTATAAGTAAATGGCAAATAAATACACAAATAAAGAAAGAGCAAAAATCATACAAGGAATCCAGAACCAGAAGAGCTTTGAGAAAGTAGTTGATAAGAAGGGAAGAACTGTGTGGTTGATGTATTAGTTTACAGGGAAGGGGAATTGCTAAGTAAAAGGAGGTGATGTGTTGAGGGACACCCAGGTGACTGAAACAGAAAAGGCTATCAAACTCACTGATGATCTTGACAGTGAATGAAATGGTTTGTATTGAGAGAAAGAGAGAAATACGGAGCTGGTAGAAAAGCAGTAGCGGGGTGCTTGTTAGAAGCATAACTCAATATAATCATACGGCTACTACATACAGGCTGTACCATCCCAACATAATGTTCTTTGAGAGAGAAAGATGGGAAAATTGATGAAATTCTATGTCAGGTGGAGAAACTAGAAGTGTCTGATGATGAATGATGTTGTACAGTTGTACGTGGCAAATTACTGTAAAAACCAACTTGGCTGCATGGGGCAAGGCCAGGGGTGGGTCGGGGGACCAAACCTCCTGATGATGAATTTTTTGGAGGTTTCAGACTGTGTAGATTCTAAATCCAAAGTGGCAACCAAATTGGTCCAGCCATTTTTTTTCTTTTGGCCAGCAATCTGGACACATGCCCTTGGGCTGGACTTTCCCTGGCACCAAGGGAAGCTGGATCCTCCCAAAAAGTCTTGACCATCCAGACATGACTTTTACAGCAATTTGCTGCATGCAACTGTGTAATGAAGTAAGACTGTTTGATAAGGTTTTAGGTTATCAACCTTGGATTTCCACAAGGAAAGAAAAAGTCCAATGGGAGAGGGAAAGACAGCAAGCTTAAGTATTTGATAATCAAGCTGGTGCAAGAGAAAGCTTGGACCAATGATGTCATTGGTTTAGACTTCCAAATGCGTTTTGGTAGAGATGGCACTTTGGCACCTGTTGGGGGGTACCTGCCACACTTCAAAACACTCCCTCCACAAAACCAAACAAAAGTGATGCACGCAACGGATTAATTAATGAACAAGGTTCACTTCTGGATCCTCGCATGTCGGTTGGCTGTGGAGCGGAGGGGCTTACTCTGAAGTGTGGCAGGTACCCCCCAACAGGTGCCAAAGTGCCATCTCTACCGTTTTGGTCAACAGTAAGATTCAAAACATGACAAAGATAATGATTTTGATGAGGTATGAGGTGTGAGGCACTTGAGCGTAGGGGTAGGGAGCTTCAACATTAACAACTTGAATTCACAAAACTTTTTCAAGTGGTGCAGAAGCTTTGATATTGATTTTTGGGGATTGGGAGTGCTGAGAGAAAGAAAGAATGATTGGAAGACTTAGTGTCAATCTGGAAGGCCCTCCTAGATCCAGATCTGAATGGAAATCTCCCAGAATTTTTGGTGTGACCCAGGGAGGACCATCATTAAAATCTATGGGAGGGTTTCCATTTTCCTACCCAGCTTTCCAGATATAACATGTAGGCATTCAACAGGTCAACAAACCCTTTGCAAAAACAAACTGGTGGACATGCCCGGGATCTCAAAAGCCACTTGCAAGTTGCAAGGCTCTGAATTGGCTGCCTGGAAACACCATTAAGACAAAAATCATAGTTGCTTCATCTTCCTCTCTGTGTTGACACACTGTAACTTGCTCAAATCTATCCCGGATCAAGCACCATTGAACCTAAACCAATTGATCTCATTGTCCAGAGAGGGACTGATGGTGAGTGAGCCATTCAAGCCGGCTGTCCAGACTTTGTTTGACTTGAAAGCTGGCTGAAATTGAGTCAATCAAAGGCTTGTTGGGTCATTGAACTTGAGTCGTGTTGACAGCTCAGCTGACAGGAAAGTCTGAGGGAATTTATTGGTTGCTTTGCAGCTCTGGACAATGAAGATAATGGAAAAGAAAATTTGGGAAAATCTGGAATCTAGTATTCCAGAGCTGGCACTGGAAGGGCTTCCAGATTGATGGGAAGTCTTCCATTATAAATGAAAAAATTGGAACTAAGAAAGGGTAAGCCAGGTTGGTTGTCCAGATAGGATTCAAGAAAGTAAATTCTAGTGCTTTACTGGACAACTTCCTGTTGGATCTGGATTTCTCCCAGTTTCCAATTTAAACCCAAAAAGTCTGAATTTTCTAGGGAACCTAGCTTTGAAGGCTCTAAAGCAGAACTGGGGACCCAAAGATTCTGACCAGAAGTCCTCCACTACAATGAGTGCTGGTAAATGCCTCACTCAACAGCTATTTGAAACCACTTTTCTCAAAATTTTCATTCATAATCATATGCTGATAGTGAAGTAGGGCAGCATACCCAACAGGCCAGTTCATGTAGCTGCTTGTTTACAAATAAAGTTTCTGTGACAAGCGACGCTTAACAACATCTTGCTTAAAGTTTTGGTGAAGTACCATGCAAAACATAAGCAAGCAGTTGAATTGACAAGCAGTGCAACTTTTCAGACTTGTTGATAAAAACACCCTCCATGAGCTGGACTAAGAGCATCTACCCCTGTTGGGGTAAATCTTTAGCTAGCTAAAGAGCCCTACAGAGCTCTTTTGCTTAGCTACAGAAAAAACCTGCCCTCATTGGTCTGTAAGCCCCTCATTAGCCAGCTGGTCTCACTTACAGAGGGCTACATAACCCTTGTGTCCACTATTTAAGTTACACTCTGTAAATGTTATATCTCAGATTCTCACATATCAAGTACATCGTCCATCCCTCAATGAATGACCGGTACCAAGCCAGTCATTGAAGAGATTACACACCACTCCTCTATGACCAGTACCAACTGGTTGTAGAGGAGGGTACATATATACCCTCAAGAACCGGGAGCGGAACCACCCAATCATTGAGGGAACTACACTCTCCCTCAATGACCGGTTTACAAGTTAAAAGAGAAAAATATGACTGGTCAGACCTGGTAATTGAGGGAGAGTGTACTGTCCTCAGTGACTGTTAGGTATGGGTCATTGAAGAGAGAGTGTAGTTCCCTTGATGACCGGTATTGACCGGTCATTGAGGGAGAGTGTATGTATTTGCCAGCTGGTAGTGAGGCTGTCAACTCCACACCAAGATACTGCTTACCTGAAAAAAAACTCCAAAATACTTTGTTGGACCAGATAACCAGCCATGCCCATGGCCTCTTCCACCAGGGGCCAGCCCAACAGCTGACAGCTATGAAAATTTCATGATTGCCAGGTTTTTCGTCTCTGACTGACAGCAAAAGTTCTTCCAGGTATATCATGACATTTGTCACCCCTCCAATAAGAAACCCCAAAGAATGCAATACATAATTCACTTCTCTCAAAAGTTTGTATGATTGCATGCAAGTTGAGCAGGAGAGTGCCAGCACACATCTTGCAGGGCCCACAGCACGTCATAGTAAGTGGGGGCACCTTCTTTCAAGGTACGAAAACTCAAGCAGAAAGATGAAAGCACTGCCTTCAAGCCATAAGTGGGCAAACAGAACTTAGGAATGGCAAAGACTCAAGAGATAGAAACGGCAAGGTGACAATGTGGCAAAGTTAATTTGAATTGCTGAATGAGTTACATGTGTAGGTTTTAGTAACCACCCAGTTCCTCGGCCTCTGGTTCTTGAGGGGCGACTTGGGGTTCCTGGTTCTCAGGAGCGGCTTCCATTCCACCTTCGCCATAAGCGGGGTTGATCTCCGCAGGTCGGGAGTTTTCTGAGACTGGCATCTGAACGATGACTTCTTCCTTGGGCTCGAAGATAGTGACCATGTCAGGCAATGGTTTGGGTGGAGCACCACCACGACCTTCGGTGTCGTTACCTCGCATGCTAGGTGTGATCAATTGATGTCAGGATAAACAATACAAGCGAGGTGTAAGAGGGACGTGAAAATGGTTGAATAGGAGTGATAGGGGATACAAACATTTTGACTTTAATACCAAGGACACCCTGTCTGAGGAGGACGTGTCGGACAGCCTGGTCAACGAAGTCCACGCTGGGTTGACCGGAGTGAATCATGAAACCATCGGTGAACTTCATGGATTTGGCTCGGGCGGCACGCAACTTTCCGGAGACAACGACTTCACAACCTTTGGCGTTCGACTCCATGATGAATCGAAGGACACCGTAGCAAGCACGACGAACAGCGAGACCACCGAGTAGCTTGTATCGAAGCGATTCACATTGGGCAACAGCGCAGAGCCCACGTTGTTGGACTTTCTCAGCGTAAACTGAATGATACATACGGCCAATCGCAATGAAGCTCAAGGTCAGGAAAGGTTGAAACTTTCTTGTTAAACAAGGGCTGAATCCGCTTACGTTCGACACTTCCTTCGGGGAATTTGAATCGCTTCTGTACGAGACTGGTCAATTCTCGAATCCGACGGCCTTTCTGTCCAAGAACCTCTTGAGTGTGGGTGGCTCGGATGATGACCTCAGTTCGAGCATGAGTAACTCGAACTTCACAGCCGGAATAACCTTCTTCGGCAAGTTCACGGGTGAAGAACTCGGACAATTCAGCGAAAAACACGCCGTCGGCCACAAACTTTCTTCGCTTGCTGATGGTCGTCATCTGAATGAACGTCGCAGACAAAGCAATCCGAAATTAGAAAAACCCGACATGGTGACTTTCTGCTATCAGGTAATGATGAATTTTCGAGTTCAGACCGACGTACCTTGGTGTCCGATAGTTTGGGGTTTCACGACTTGAGGAGGGGCGTGATGCTTGACGGATGACGTTACAGGGTGCAGGGGCGGCGGAGTGGCTCGGCTGGGATTGGGTACGAAATGCGAGGCGCAGTCTCACTTGTCCGCAGCAAATGTTGGCAAACCTAAGAGCAACCCGAACAGCTGCCAGTAGTATCACCCCGGGGCCCGGTGCTTCGGGATTAGACGACACGACCCCGTGACTCGACCGGTTCACCACCCACCGGCCCTGACCCGGACCGGCCTCGGTGACCTGTGTATGACATCATCGGACCAGTTTGAGAATTGCAATACCTTTCAGGCAAGACAGTAAAAGCTGACAGAGCCAGCACCAAACAAGAACGTGCTTATCGTTATGGTTAGGGAACAGTTCACATGTCGCTGGGGTATCATGGTCAGTGCAATAGGACTCCTCGAGCTCATTCTTCAGTGGCCAAAGGTTTAACGTTGTGATTTGTGGGGTGGCTGATGTGACCATGTAATCTACAGGGGGCTGGTGCTATATCTGAGTGAGTAGCATCCTCTTTCTTTGAGCGGAAGCATTTGCTAAATGCTATAGATGGAAGCAGGAAGTTCGTCAGAGACCTTTTGATCGATCCAAAAACTCGCGAAGTATCTGATGTCCATCATCGAGTGAGTGCAATGATTATCCAGTGACCATCTCAACCAGTGATCCTGAACCGATAGTGATGTTTATAGATCGCTGCAATTGGTTCGAGATCATTCGTGAAGGCTGAGGACTTCATCAGTCGCATTGAAGGTCTGGAATCGCATTCGACCAAGGCATATGGTTCTTATCAGGATTTGGTTTCAGATCTGGAAGTTGATGTCATTTATGTCGGTGTGCAGCAAAATTTCCTTCATTCAAAATTTATTTGCTTGTCTCTTCACCTCAGTTATTAAACCGGTGGTCTACCCACACTGGCCAAGATGGGAAGAAGCAACGGACATCTATCCATTGATTCTTCAGATTGGTCAGTCTGATAGGAATTTATTGATCGTTGATTTACCAGGTACCCCTCATTCATCTCACTTCTCGGATGTGATGCTTTGCTTGGGAAGTAATAGAAACGTGTTATGCGAAAAACCTATGACGGTTAGTCTCTTGTTTTCCAGCATGCTCGCATCTTGCAAATAACCACAATTCATTTGCAAGTGTTTGTGAAATTTGCTGCGTCTGATAAAACGCGTGTTTTTTTTTTCTGACATAGGTCAACGCGGCTCAAGCTCGAGAGTTGTGTCGGGCAGCTAAAGAAAAACAATGTTTTCTGATGGAAGGTAAGCAATCGGCTCCTCTTTTGATACACTTCAAGTACTATCTCGACCCATGGCTCCACGCCTTGAATGCCTGTGAAAAATAACTGAATTTAAATGGTGAGGTTAGCTTTGTGGACTCGTTTTTTGCCTATCACTCATAGCTTCCAAAAAGTAATTGCGTCGGGAGCAATTGGCGAAATTCAGCGGGTAAGTACGCTTGCCTGATGGTATAATTTGGTTTGAGTCGCTTCGACTATCCTACCCGTGGTGGGTTTAGAGTGCTTATGCCTCATTTGGGATAAGACAGGTTGATGCGGATTTGAGCGTGGATTTTGCTCCGGACTCGTTACCCAATGACAATCGTCTAGTCAATCCGAAGCTGGCCGGTGGAGCACTTCTCGATTTAGGGTAAGCAACATCGGTATCACTATCTATGGATGCTGATCCCTACTTTTTACCACTTTGCAGACCCTATCCATGGACGATGCTTGCACTCACATTGCTTCATCAAAACATCAAACCCGAATCATCATCTTTCCATGACAACAAACATGAAAATCCAGGTTTGTCGCAGGAACTTGCCACATCCGTGCTTATGGGGGTTGGACATTTGGCTTGATAGGCTTATCAGATTCTTACGCCCTTACAGCACCAACTGACCTATCAATACCCAAAATATCTGCTTCTGGTACTATGTACACGCATCGAAACGCACACCCCTCATCTGAGCCAGTAGATGGCTCAGTAATCGCAGTCCTTGAGTTCCCTACTCCTTCTGGTCGAAAAGCTCAAGGGTATATCATTTTTCTGCCATTTGTGACGATGTCGCAATGATAATGCCAGATGATGATTTGCGTGAAACTGAATTAAATTTGACTACTTATTCATGAGATGATTTAGTTTGCTCATTAGCAGCATGCTTCAAAATACGAACGAAGACAGAGCAGTGACTATATATGGTACCAAAGGTCGAATCAGAATTCCATCGTAAGTCATACACAAGTCCATCTACCATTAATCCTCCTCCGGTGCAATCCTTCTGTTGAATATTGAAAAAAGCTCACACATTTCTGCTTGATATATGCACAGTCTTGCCTGTTGTCCATATCAATTTGGAGTTACCGTCTACCCAGATCAAGCTGAAGGGAATGCCTTACCCACGAGCCAAGGAAGAGACAACCATCCGCAGGAGAAGATCCAGTCGTTTGAGATTCCAGGTTAATGAACGAGTTTTATGATCAAATTCTGTCTTCCATCAAGTTGATTTTGGATTTTATTCTTTTCGGTTTATTAGGCAATGCAAAAGGATACAGTTCGTCGGGATTGTATCATTCTTCATTTTATCAAGCAATAGAGATTCACGAGAATCTTTTCTCTACTTTCATTTCTTCCGAGAACAGTGTGGGAAGCGGATGAAGTTGCGAGATCTATAGCATCCAGAAAGCTTGAATCAAAACGTATGCCCCACTCCGAAAGTATATTGATGATGGAAGTTGAGTACTTGAAGGCTTGATTCCCAATTGCATCAACATGCATCCATGTATGGCTGGCTGATGCAATTATTGCATCTGTTTCCTGTTGATTGTGCCAGGTTTTTGACGAGATTCGCAGACAGATTGGATTGAAATACCCAAATTCTATTGAATCAATGCCCTAATTCCTTGAGCAGAGGGTGAAAAAGTTTACAAGCTTTAAACCAATCCACCATTAATAAAAGCATATAAGCTCCACAAATGGTAACCTTATGCTATTGAATTCAGATGTATCAGGTGAATTATTCATGCTACTCATTCAACTATTTCCAGATATAATGTACATACCTTGCAGTACTAGTGAGGGGCTTCTTGAGGCAAGAGTCAAAAAAGCGGGTCCACCTAAATCTGTTAAATCAATTGTCCAATGAAGAAGATTCTACATTTAGTAGTTGTTGGGTCTAAGTTTTCTTATTCCAGAATCTCCTGGCTCAATCCTCCCAAAACATGAAAAAATATTATGGTATCAATTTGTTGGTAACATCTGGGGCGGAATTCAAACTGATGTGAAATTAGTGGGACTCTATTCATCACAATTATGAGTAATATATCTAATAAAAATCAAATAATTTTGGTGAGGGTCACTCACAAGTAATAGTGCATTGTAATTTGGATCAGTGTCAACTCAAATATGTTGAGTGTTTGTTGCTTTTACTTTTTTGTTTAAATTGAGTTAGAGAAGAAAAAGAAAACATCAGGGAAAATTCCAAAGTTGGGAGACTCAACTAATAGGGGGTTTCATAGCTGAGTGCAACTTCAAGTGACTTGCAAGATATTTTTCAAGTCACTCTCATGCATGGTGATCTTCAAAAATGGCTATCGACTAGCCACATATTACCTTGCAATGAATACTGGGAACAGAAAATGCATGCTTTGTTGTGCAGATTCACTTGCAAAACTTTTTGCAAGGCATTTGCACTCGACTCTGAATCCCACTATTGAAATAACAAGATAGAATTCAATCCCATTGCTGATACAAAAGCCAAATACAAAGGCAAGTGAGTGAAAGTTTGTATTTCTCAATTTCAGTTATCTCTTTAAATTGGATTATGAAATTACTTGAGCCAGGACATCCAATTGACAGTGCTTCATTGTGCTTGACACCTTCCTCAATTGCAAATTCCCAACCAAGTCCACCCCCAATGGGAGAGTGATAATCACCCCCCCCCCCTTTGCACACACTCTCACACACTCCCCTCTCTGCCCCCCAATGGAATATTTGCTATCTGGATTCAACTTCCTTAATGATGAGATTGAGGAGGAGTAAGTTGATAGGGATCTTGTTTTTGGAATTAAGGAAATCAACTCAGGGTTAGACTGCTGATTGCATACTCAATGTTTTTGTCCTAAACCCTCTTAACAATTAAAAAATACAATAACAGCCAGTTAACCACAGGTGGGAAATGGGTAAATTGCTATGACTGTGCATTCATTTTGACAAGCAGGCTCAAACTTTGATTTACTCTAACAGTCAACACAAACCTGAGCCAATGTGGGTCCTGGGTTAGTTGCTGCCCAATAAATAAATGGAGATGTAATTTGTTTGAATCATCGGATTAATTTCAAAAGAAGTGGGAAAGAAAGTGACTATTAAAAGGAGCTCAAAAAGTTTCAATTCCAAATTAAAATACAAGATAATCTTGATCAAAATCAAAGCAGATAGTAGGGGGTATCAAATATAGGAAATCCACCATTAGAAACCAGTCACTTTTCCTGATTTTTTTGCATCAATATTGGGCCCCCAAAGGGGTTAAATGAGGAACCATCATGTTTAAAAAAGGGTGGATTAAATGAAGAACCATTATGTTTAAAAAAGGCAGTTTTTTCAAACCAGTCAATTACATAATGGTGGATTTGGTTATATTTGATACCCCCTAGTGAGGAGTAGCAATGGCCCCGCAGCATCTGGATATCCCCTCCCTTTTTTAGCGGAGTTGGACATCCGCATCTGCATCTGCACCTGCTGGCGGGTATCCAGCAACCACAGCGGGTACACCCTTTAACAATTTGCCTTTTTTTCTCAAGTTCATGGGTCATTTTTGTTCTATGAAGGTTGAAAAGTTGGTACAGTGGGTAGACAGTGAAAAGTGGCTGCTCATTTTGGATTCCAGAGCTTCAAAACACAGACTTGAAGTCATTAGACTTGGTCAGGTGGTGCATAATAGGTCCCCAAAAATGAATTATATGAAAAAATAAAATGAAAAAAAATAGTTTTAAAATTTGTGAAAAATAAAAAATAAAATTGATTTTTTTCAAGGGCCTTAATAAAAAAACCCGCATTTTCCGCGTTTTGACGCGCTTTTGCTGCGGCACAGCACACGCGCATTCCGCTTTTAAACCCGCATTTTTAATTAATTTTTTTTTGCCATTAGTTTTCAAGTTTTTTTGATTTTTTAAAGTTGTTTCCTACACTTTAAAAGGTGTAGAATTTAATGGTAAACACCATTTTCCATAAAAATGAATTTTGATTATTAATTATTTTTTCTCACTCATTTTTCAATTAATTGTTTGCTTTAAGTTTTTTACCTCATTTTTCAAGATTTTGTGTAACTTTAAAGTTGTTTCCTACATTATCAAGTGTGTAGAAATTTATGGTGAAATCCAATTTTCATAAAAATGAATGGAACATTTTTAATAATGCAATTACACCCATTTTTTCACTTAAATTTTTAGAGCTCAATTTTCATTCTGTTTTCACATTTTGAACTTTTTTCCTACACTTTCAGACATGTATAAATTTATGGTAAAAATTAATTTCAATCAAAGTGAGAACTACATCTTGTATACTGCATTGGACACCGTTTTTTTGTTTAATTCTTCACTTTTTCACTCAATTGTTTGCATTAATTTTTTTACCTTATTTTTTCTGCTTTTTTGAAATTTGAAAGTTGTTTCCTACATTTCAAAGTGTTTAGAATTTACTGGTAACATTCAATTTCCATAAAACTCAACTGTTCATTCTGAATACTGTAATCAGCCTTAAAATTCAATTGATTTTCAAGAGCTTAGTTTTCATTATTTTTGTACGTTTTAAATCTGTTTCCTACACTTTCAGACATGTATAAAATGATGGTAATAACCATTTTGCATCACAATGAAAAATTGTTCTTGAATAACGCATTCCACATGTTTCTTTAATTAATTCTTACACACTTAATTATTCTTATTTTATGGAATTTTAAGTTCATTTCCTACACTTTGAAAGGTTTTCAAATTTTTGGCTGTATCCATTTTGCATTCAAATAAAATTTGTATACAGTACAAATTATGCACGAAATGGTGTACACTCTTATATTAAGATTGAGGCTTTTCTTTTGAGGCAAAATGAGTTCTACCATTAAATTCTACACACTTTTAGATGTAGGAAATAGATTTAAAATTTCAAAAAATGATTAAAATTGAGCCGGTAAAAATTAATCAAAAAAACATGAAAAAACCTGTCCCACGCAGTATTCATTAAAAATCTTTGGTTGTTATGCAAAAAAAACTTTTACCATCATTTCAACTATGTCTTAAAGTGTGGGAAATAAATTTAAAAAGTGAAAAAAGAATGAAAATTAAGCTGTAAAAATTTAAGTGAAAAAAGTGTCTAATTTCAGTATTCAAAGTGAACCGTTGAGTTTTAAAAAATTTGGATTGCGCCATTAAATTCTGCATGCTTTAAAACCTAGGAAATAATTTTAAAACCTCAAAAAAACTTAAAAAATAAAGGACATACATGCATGCAAACAATTACTTGAAAAATGAGTGAAAAAAAATAATTAATAATCAAAATTAATTTTTATGGAAAATGGACTTTACCATTAAATTCTACAACCTTCAAAGTGTAGGAAAAAATTTCAAAAAATCAAAAAAACTCGAAATTAATGGCAAAAAAAAATTAATTAAAAATGCGGGTTTAAAAGCGGAATGCGCGTGTGCTGTGCCGCAGCAAAAGCGCGTCAAAACGCGGAAAATGCGGGTTTTTTTATTAAGGCCCTTTTTCAAAAGCTTTGATATTCCCTTTTTTTGGCGGGGGGGGGGGGGGAGTGCTGAGAGAAAGATAGAATGGAACATGGGAAGAATGATTCTAAATGAAAAAAATTGGAACTAAAAAATGTTTGGCCAGGTTGGTTGTCCAGATTGGAGCCAAAACAGTAAATTCTAGTGCTTTACTGCGATGTGGGCTGGTGAATGCCCCACTAAACAGCTGTTTGAAGCCATCTGGAAACCAATTTTTCCAAAATTTTCATTT